AAAAAAAAAAAAAATGCCAGAGGCTTACAGAGAGATTATACCGGCACTTGACGTCGTACCTACACAACCAGGCCTTTTCAGGTACACTTCCCTGCTCCATTGATTCAACCTCTGCATTGCTACTACCACAAACACAAACGTGTAATCAGCAAAACCAAAAAACCCTATGAAATAAAATAAATCAAAACGCAATACACACCTCGAAACCTCAAACGCCACGAAAAAACCAGAAATCAAACCCGAAACCCACCTTTCAGACCCGTTTCCTGACCCCTCTGCCTGCTGCTGGTCCTCGTACAGCTCCATCCGGCCGCGATCTTGCTAAAGACGCCAGCACAACAACATTAAGCAAAACGGGTAGAATCATTATCCTTCAGACGATGATTTTAGCCCCTTTCCCCTTCCGGTGATCGGAAATTTCTAATGATCAAAAGGACCAAATCATAAGCTCTTCACTCATTCAATAATCAACCATGTCCCCATTATCAGTCTCTTCTCAGTCCAAAACAAAAAAAGCAAACACAAAAAAGTAATAAAAATGAATAGGAATTCAAACCTTTGCCAACAATCAAAACCGACATGAAAACAGCTAAGGAAACAAGGCACAAGAGCAGCATCCCAATCTTCTTTCTCTGTGCAAACTCAATTATCCAAAGGATTAGCTTATCTTTATCATTAACCGTCTTAGGAGGCTTTCGAGAGGTAGGCTATGTAGCCTGAATTGGGAAAAACAAGTAACCATTTTGAAATTGTTGTAATGAACCGTAACTGCCTAAAGATCGAAAACCCAATGACAAAATAATACAAAAATAAATATAAAAAACAAACCATCGCTGAGAGTGAAGATTGTCGACATAAACTTCAACTTCTGGATAAGATCTAGGGTTTTGTGCGAGTTTGACCGGAACTACGTGATTTTGCTTCACGGTAGAAAGGGAGGCGGCAGCAATCGGGTGGTCAGAGAGGGGCTTGGCGGTCGCGACGGGGGTGTGGCAGTCGGCAGAGGAGGAGTGGTCGAGGAAGAAAACTGTCGAAATTTTGTTTTCGCTTGCAGAAGAGAAAAGTGGAGTGGGTGAAGCATTTGCGTGTAGAAGAAGTGATTTGCGAGCGTGAATTGAGGGATGCGACGCCCCGGAGCAGGTAAGGGAGTTGTGATTGTTGCGTGTGAATTGTGATGGGAACAGAGAGGTGAAGCACAAAGTGTAAAACACAATCTCAGATTTTGTGGGGAAAATCATGTCTCTCTCTCTCTTTCTCTCTTTCTGGCAAAACTGTAAATACATGATAAAAGGAAGGACATTTTTGGCACAAAAAGACACGTGTCAAGCCCACAATTGTCCAATGTTGTTGGGTTATATGTATAGTAGAGATATTGAAATCTTAAACATATTTTAAAAATACAAATGTTTAAAATTTGCAAATTATAAACAGGGATCCATTGACATTTTTTTTTTTAAAAAAAAACCAGATAGTGTTGAGGGACAACTTTACAATTTTATTTATTTTGAGTATTTTTTAATTTAATTCATGACTAAATATGTAGTTTATTGCAATATTCTCATACATGCGTATTAATGATAAATAAATTGTACAATGTTTAAAAAAATTAATATGTAAAATTTTGACATATAAAAAATGTTGAAATAATTAATATAAATTTACAATAATAAATAATAAATTATTTCAATTATTTAGGTTAATTCGATGTACAATTATATCTACTAAATCTAGTTTTCAAAAACACATAATATACACGTGATCATATAAAATCTTGCACTTTATATATGAGCACGTTGCACTTTATAAAACAACATGTTGCACTTTATCACCACGACTCAACATTTAACGTCAACAGCTCCCGCCAAAATACCACACAACATAAAAAAAAAAAACAGATATCAAGTGCTTAATCTTCCCTTAATAAATAATGCATGTAATGGTCACCAATCAACATCTGAATCAACGTTGAAGTCAACGGTCAATACCGAAATCAACAGTCAGCTATCAGATGTTCTAAATAAAATTTAATAATTAAAATAAAAAATATATAAAATTAAATTTTAGCCACACATCTTGATTCATACTTAATAATATATGGTTGATTCATTCATACTCACTTCAAATAAGTAAACTTATTGAATACTCCCTCCATTTCAAATTATAAGTCGTTTTGATTTTTTTGATTTATTCATTTTGCTATGTATCTAGACATATAATTTGAAACGGAGGGAGTATATAGATTGGAAATTGTGTTTCACATTCCAACTTTGGTCTCAATTAAAAAATGATGAAACTCATTTTAAAGGAACCAAATTTATCTCGTGATATTTTGCTCTAACAATCAAGAAATAGAATGAA